CATGTTGATTGCAGAGGCTGGGGAGCGAACCGCTGACCCTCTGATTGAAAGACACCCACAGCCAAAAAAGAAGATTGGTTTCACAAATCAGATTAACGGAGAAGGACAATAGTTGCAAATGAATGCCATTGTTGACTGCTGAACAACTTGATCCAGGGTTGATCTTGAATCTTGATCTTGATCTTGAAATTACAGATGATGCAAAAATGCCCTCCAGATTTCAATGATTACCGCTGTGGTTAAACTACGATACCCACCTACTACTTGCTGACCTACAAACTTACAGACTGGAAAATGTACTTACCTCCGTACCTCCTGACTGATTCAAACCCACCTGCAATACATCATGCTAAATGACACGATACAATACATTTGTTTTGGACTCTATCCTGCAGAAAAAAATCATAAATACAACCATAGTACACGATAAAAGACAATAGTATATTCACTCATGACTTACATGTACACAGTTTTGCACATATACAAACACTAACAATTATGACCTATTGCACAAACCCCTTGGCTTACATTTAAACTACATTACAATCATTACGTCCCCTACACACGGCGGCGTGAGTTGCCGCTTGGCTGTGGGCGTGTCTTGAGCTTGGGGAGTTTAAGCGAGCAACGCGACCAACAACCAATCACATGAATCTCTCCTGTCAATTTGCATAAAAGGTTTTACATGTCACACTTTATATGATGAACATTTATGACATTAATGTCTATGGTGCTATTTTACGCAACATTCCATGCTGGCTAAATACAGTCTATGCCTGCTAGCTGTCCATTCAAACGAATTACACTGGATATAAAATCCCCAAACAGGCGAAAACCTACCAGTTTCACCCACTGTCTCTGCTACCTCCCCCCATGCCTGGCTCCTCCGGTTTGTATCCCGGTAGGTGAACAGAGACTGATCATAAAGAACCGGGTGATTCCCTACCGCTACGATTATTTTCTCCTCCATTTTTTGACATATGGGTAATAAACTGCGGTCTGGCTCTCCCAGCATACACGCGGTTTGATTGGCTAGCGCTTGTAGTGGCAGATTTGCATAAGCGGGATTTGATTGGCTGACGCCTCTGTCGAGGCTTCAAAAGTAGAACATTGCTCTACTTTTGCTGCGAGCAACGCGAGAAAAGCTACGCTTCGCTCCCACAATGCAGTTCGGCGAAACGTGATGTCACCCCATTCAAAGTGAATGGGCAGAAGCGTTGAAGAGTCAACGCACGCCGCCGTGTGTAGGGGCTGTTACAGTACATTAATGATCTATCTTTCTGTATTACAACACAGCTACCTATCAACTAACTCATCTAACTACCAATCTTCTGCCCTGCCTATGTTAAATGTATGTTAAATGTACTAAAGCAAAAAAAAGCTCACCAACAGACATATCTGCCTAGCTACCAAAACTACAGGTTGGCCAGCTGGTCCATTGTCCTACAAATCTTTTGACCTTAAAAGATCAGACTGAACGACTGAGCAGCTAACCTACCTTTTGTCACATCTTTAGTTGAAGTGCAGTAGTTTATTATATACATATTTAACTATGAATAAATAAGATTTGATATTTATCTCAGTAACTCTAACAGGAAGCTTGACATGTTGGATTCTGGGTAATGTAGTTTGGTCAGACTGCTAACAGACGGGAGAATAAACAAGACTGACTGATGGTCTGAACAGAAGAAAATCGGTTTAATCACTGAGACTGTGGTTATTTATACACACACACACACACACACACACACACACACACACACACCACACACACACACACACACACACACACACACACACACACACACACACACACACATACCCATACCCATACACACACACACACACACACACACACACACACACACACACACACACACACACACACACCACACACCACACACACACACATACCCACACACACACCATCTGCTCTAAATTAGCCTGTTGATGTTTTCCCATGACCTTTTCCCATCGTGTTCACATCTGCATACACACATGCACACCACACACACACACACACACACACACACACCACACACACACACACATACACACACACACACACACACACCACACACACACACACACACACACACACCACACATCTGCACACACACATACACACACACACCACACACACACATACACACACCACACACACAAACACAGAGCTACTGTGTCGTCAACTGTTGATATTAAAGGTTTATTTTGTTGGTTATTATTCTATTTTGCGTTGTTTAAAGACGACATCCAACTATTTTCAGATCAGTAAACAATTAATTAGATGGCTTATTTAAAAAGGCACCAATTGACCAATCAGATCGTCATATCCTGAGATGCTGAGGTCGTCTTTTGCCTCTGAGAAACAGGATATTGATTGGTTGCAGAACATCTTAAGAGTGTTTGGAGTTTAAAGAGAATCACACAGGTCCATCAGTCAGATCGGATCCTCTCATTATTGACACAAAAGGCTGAATTTTAAAAAGATGGCTCACAGGATTGTGGTACAGGGCGGTGCGATGAATAATCTATACGTTTATCTACAGCAGGTGTTATCGTATTGACGATCGGACAGGTTTCTGATCCATCATGAATAATCAATGAGTGTCAGAGGAGAGGAGTGACTCAGCAAAAAACAGGAATCCCCTCCCCCGTCATTATGTTAATGTTGAGACTCAGATAAACCCGGCGACCTCGTAACAGTCACTGGAAATGTAGGCGGTTACTGTAGCAACACAGCTGAGATTCTGGGGTGCTTTTGTAGCGAAGCTAGTCCAGTGTCAAATATCATTGTTAGTTTTAAGAATATTAGATTAAGATTCAATTTATTGTCATTACGTAGTACAGGTACTATGTAACGAAACGGTTTCTCTGCATTTGACCCATCCTAGTGTTAGGAGCAGTGGGCTGACATTATGTACGGCGCCCGGGGAGCCATGTAGGGAGCGGTGCACTTGCTCAGGGACACCTCGGTAGCACTTGGTCTTTCCGGGACTTGAACTGGTGACCTTCCAGTTGCCAAGCCAAGTCCCTATGGACTTCGCCATGTCGGTCCAAATATGTTTATTTTGTTGCTGTTTTAATTGTCCAAAGGGCTGGCACTCGTCTTACCTTATTATGTGTCATTCTGGCAGAGAAAATCATTAGGTTTTTGTTTATTTCCAGGGAGTTGGAAACTGTACATTTGCCATTTTGAGAGGCATGCTACATGTGTAGTTTTTTTAAGATAATGGGGTTTCATTTTTTTATTTTCATGCCATTTTTTCTAACACAGACATTGACACAACGTGGAGTGGATACAGTTTCAATTTTTTTTAAATATTTTGTTTAATGACAATAAACATTATTCATTATTATTTTCGTGGCGAGAACTAGAGAACAGAACAAATGATGAAGTAAACATTAACCGCATTGCAAATTAGAACATCTTGCTGCATTTTTCATTTATATATATTCTTTATTTTGATATAAATACATACTTAAAGGCTCATTCAAATGGTTTTACATTTATTTTGGAGGTAGTGGACGTGTTCAAAAGCCTCTGAGATTAAATTCAAAAGGCAATAAATTGGTAGTAAAATCAATAATTAATGTTTAATATTAATTCGACATTATTGATTTGGCTTCAAGCTGGTACTGGTGTAATGATAATGTGCAACATGAGTATTAAACCCGTTTCAAAGTCCCTTTTTGCTTGATTTGGCCTTGCAGCTGTTGATCTGATCCAAAGCAAAAATGTCTGTAGTTTTGAATCTGATATTGTTGTTTTAAATTATTCCTTTTGGCCAATCAGGCGACAGGAAGCATCAGAATACAACCAATGACCTTCAGCCGTAACCACAAACATCTCTCTGTGTGTGTGTGTGCGTGTGTGCGTGTGTGTGTTTCCTCCATGTGGAGTTTATTTCTGTCCAGCTGCAGCCAGAGACCTCATATGGAAGCTATTAGAGTGTGTAGTGTGTGTGTGTGTGTGTGCACATCCGGTCTGTCTGTGTCTAACAACTTTATTTATAATACTGATTAGAGTAGAACTTAGGGAATGACAGAAAATATTCACCGACATGCCACAAACAATTATTTCTGTACATTTTCGTCCTCAATTTCTTTTTGAAATATGTCCTTGCTGTCAAAACTCCCCTAGTGGTCAAACATGTATCAAGTACTGCGTTCAGACCTTTGTTTTTACAATATTAAATATTCCTTTTATCAATGCTTATTTCTGTCCTGATTTGTGGAAGTGGATTTGTTTATGTTGAACCTTAAACATGGAGGACAAGGCCGATATATTGTGTTATTTGATAAGAGAAAACACTATTGTAGAGATGTGATTGGCTGTGATTTGTCGATCGGCTGAATACAATTGCGAGTATTTTGATTTTCAATTCATGGTTGAGGTAATTTTCAATGCAAACATGGCAGAAATGCAGTTTTCAGTCCCTCAAATATCTAGATGACCTGTTTTCCTGGGTTTATATACATTTAAAGTATTTATTTTGGAGTATCTGACTAAGACATTTAATGACATAATCTTGGGCTTACTGAGATGGACTTTTTTTTACTATTTTCTAACATTTTGTGGACCAAACAATAATACATAATTCATAAAATAATAAGCAGATTATTAACATAATGATTCACAGGTTCTAAATGTTCGCTTAAATTAATTACTAAATACATTTGGATTGTGAAGTCAACATTTTGAGAAAGAAGGTCCGACATCTTGACTAAAAGTAATTTCTTCCTTTTGGTTTCCGACTTTAGAAGTTCTCAGATTCATGTTTTTTTTTTTTACTTTAACAACGCAACATGGAGATTTCCTCAGGATTGCGGTTTTAACTGCCTCAGTGATGAAAAAAAAGCAGCAATAATGGATATAATCATTTGCTGCAGGAACTAAACGTTTGTTTGTTTGTCATCTTAATCAAAAGGCTTTTATTTTGGCGGTTTGTGGGCGTGGCCATTATACCATGTGACTCATTCTGGCTCCTCCCCCTCAGGTCCCTCCCTCCTCCTCCAAGTCCCAGTCTGCTGGCTAAAGGTCTCTCTCTGGAGACGTCCTGCTCTCCGTGCGGCCACCAGGGGGCGCTGGACGCCGACGCTCCCCAGCAGCTGAGCTCCGACCCAGGGCCCAGCTCCTTCTCCTCAGACCCCGCCTCCCTGGAGCGAGGGGCGGAGCTAACAGTGCGCCGCGGCTCCGCTAACGGGCTCCTGCTGGTCAACGACACGGGGCCTCCGGAGCTACCAGCTACCACAATAACACCAACGAGCAAGAGCAGGCCGCCGCTGCCCGGACCCAAACCTCAGGGTAACAACGTCTATTGAAATTTAAATATTATAATAATAATAATCTTTATTTGTATAGTACCTTTCATACAATAAGTGCAGTTCAAAGTGCTTCACATAGACATTTCACACAAAATTAATATCACACAGAATAAAGTTACCAGTAAAAGACATAAAAACTAAAAATAGCATAGAGAAGACATTTAGATTAAAGGTACAACGACAAAATTGTGCATTTGAAGGAGGATAGTGCAAATTCAACACACAATCAGTTTAAAATACATCGTAATGCATTGAGAAAGTGCAGCAGAGAGCAGGAGTTTCCTTCCTAATATTGACGTTTTTTACCTTTTATTGCTACAACATTTTATTTTGACTCAGATAATGTTAAAAATGTTTTTCCGGTAAGTATTAATTGTAACATTTTAAAGTGACCCTCCCAACCCTAGACACTAATTGAGCTGTTTTGTCGCCCTCCTCAGTTCCCCCGAAGCCCCCCCACCTCCAGCAGCAGGCGGGGGTGTTGAGGCCCCGCCCCCGGGTCCCAGATAAGCCCCTCCCCCCTCCCCCGCCCTGCAGGCCCCTCCCTGCTGACCCTCGGGGGGGCAGGTCTCCGCCCTGTCGCTCTGATGGCACCGACTCCCCCAACTGCGTCCTGTCACTCATCGAGAAGTTTGAGCGGTGAGTTCTGATTGGTTCTTAAAGGTCCCCTATTATAGTCTTTTTCAACAATATATTATAGGTCTCAGATTTATAAAGAACATGTCTCTACCTTGGTTGCTGATTGGCTAATGGCTACACAAGCCAACACATCGTTATGACATCATAAAGTGGCCAAAATCTGATCAGCTCATTTTCAGACAGGTTTTTATAGAAATGGATCAAAAAGAGAGAGAATCTTTGTTCCTGAAACTTTCAGAGTCTCTTTCCACAGAGGGGACACATGTTGATGTAGAAGAGACATGAAGAAGAGGGGACACATGTTGATGTAGAAGAGACATGAAAGAAGAGGGGACACATGTTGATGTAGAGGAGACATGAAGAAGAGGGGACACATGTTGATGTAGAAGAGACAAGAAGAAGAGGGGACACATGTTGATGTAGAAGAGACATGAAGAAGAGGGGACACATGTTGATGTAGAAGAGACATGAAGAAGAGGGGACACATGTTGATGTAGAGGAGACATGAAGAAGAGGGGACACATGTTGATGTAGAAGAGACATGAAGAAGAGGGGACACATGTTGATGTAGAAGAGACATGAAGAAGTGGATTTTGCATAAAAGTAAAAGTTTTTATAGATTTTTGGGGATTTCTTCTTACTGAAATTAACTCTTGTGTGTGTGTGTTCAGGTTCAGGTTATTTATTTGTACCCGTAGGTAGATTCTGTTTGCAGAGAAAAAGACAAGGGTTCCATCCTGACACTAAAAATAAACACAAACAACAGACACATCTCTAATAAAGGACTAGTAAAAGTACAAGTATACCCTGCTCAACCAAATCTCAAAACATGTGTGTGTTTGGTGTGTGTGTTTGTTTGTGTGTGTGTGTGTTGTGTGTGTGGTGTGTGTGTGTGTGTGTGTGTGTGTGTGTGTGTGTGTGTGTGTGTGTGTGTGTGTGTAGTGAGCAGATAATTGTGGTTCCTGACATCACCGGGGGGGCTCTGTGTCGCCTGCCAGACACCTCCTCCTCCTCTTCCTCACGTCCTTCATCACCACCGTCCTCCTCACCTGCGGCCCCTCCCCCACCTGAAGAGGAACCGCCCTCTGAGGTCAAAGGTCTCGATGACATCACACTGGGGGGAGAGGCTGAAGAAGAGGAGGAGGAGGGAGACGCCGACCTGCACGATGAAGACGACGATGACGACGATGAAGAGTTGGCGGCGGCGTGTCGTGAGGACGTCCATCAGAAGCGTCTCTCCATGGAGTCGGGTTACAGCGCCTCGGAGAAACACCTGGAGGACGACGTGGTTGCCGTGGAGATGAGGGAGCAACAGCCGGCTCAGCTCGACCAATCAGAGCTCCCCTCAGAGCGCTTGTCCCTCCCCTCCTCACAGACAGAGGGAAAACTGGCCAATCGGGACAGCGGCATCGACAGCATCAGTTCGCCGTCGCACAGCGAAGAGCTCTGTTTCGCCGGAGTGGACGATGGGGGCGTGGCCTATCCCTGTAGCCCTGCCCTCTTGCCCCGTCTCTCAAGCTCCTCCTCTTACGCGGGGGAGGGGGAGGAGGGGGAGGCGAGGGGCGGAGCCAGGAGGAGGCGGGACTTCTCCGAGGAGGGAGACAGCGACCTGGAGGAGGAGGAGGAGGGCGAGCTGACTCTGGTGCTGCCCCCCCCCAAAACAGACAGACAGGACTCTGTGGAGGTGAGACAGGAAGTGAGACCAGACCTTTTGTTCACCAAACAAGTACGTGTTGAGACTACAGATCCACCAAAAAGTGTCCGAAATATAATGTGACATTTCACTCAGAATCACAATCAGATTCATTCCAATGCAGTTTTACACTTACAAGGAATTTGCTTTAGGGTATAATGGCGCATAGACAAAAGAAAGTTGTCAAAAAGATATTTCAAACACTCATTTCTTTGCAGAGATACAGTAAATGGAAATAGTTCATGATGTCCAGAAAGAATAATTCCTTGTTTTTTTTTACTATTAGAAAAACAAGCCAAGTGCCATGTAGTCCAATTATTATTATAACATATGTGTGTTATAGACAAGGCAGACATCTGTAAGAATAATTCTTCCAACACTCAGAAAGCATTCTAGATGAACAAATAGCACTTCATAGCAAGTTACATTTTCAATGCTTGACTTTTACTTCTGGATAATCCACATATTCTGGCTGTTTTCCCGTTGTTCCTGCAGATGTTTCACCTCTCCCTCTCTCTTGTCTCTCTCTCTTTGTGCAGCTGTCTGTCCAGCAGAGGGTCTTTAACATCGCCAACGAGCTGCTGCACACAGAGATCGGCTACGTCTCCAAACTCCACCTCCTGGACCAGGTGAGTTCACGGACTGTGTTCACACGCTGTCTGGCATCCTGTCGATCTGTGCATGTTAATATCTGATGGTTTAACTTTAGAGAAATATGGGTACTTAGCTGCTACTCACGACGTCACTGTCACTCTGCTTTTGGAGGCGTGTGGTGCAGTGGGTTGTGCGTTGGTGTTCGGATCAGGGGGACACAGGTTCAAACCCCACTGCAGTCAGCATGTCGTTGTTTCCCTGAGACACTTCACCCAAATTGCTCCTGTGGGGATTGCCCACAGTATTGAGTATGTAAGTCGCTTTGGATAAAAGCGTCTAACAAGTGACATGTAATGTAAAGCTTTCGGGAACTATATTTGATTAACAAAACGTTTGAAGATAGAAAAAAAGACAGGGCCAGAAACAGCCACGGTTGGAGCTTTGACCATGCTTATCGTACTTAAAATAGATGAGGGAAAGAAATGCTTTAGCTCTTAAATATGGCTAATCGTGGCTGAAAAACATCTAATTGCAGGGGTTTGATTCTGTCAGATTTTATGGGTTCTGCTGTCTTTAATATTTTAGATACTTAAAATTGTATATAGTCTCGTCTGGCATCTTAAATGTTAAACGTGTTTTGCTTTGAAGTGTTGTTTCAAGGTTGTCCGTGTAATCAAATGTGATGATTATGGTTTATTTTGAACAATTCCCTTATTGGTTTACAGAACAATTAGTTTAATTTGATATAAAATGACATGACAAAATGAGTTGACTCCTCTCGCCTCCTGCAGGTCTTCTGTGCTCGTCTCCTGGAGGAGGCGCGCTCTCGCTCCTCCTTCCCCTGCGACGTGGTTCAGGGAATCTTCTCCAACATCTGCTCCATCTACTGCTTCCACCAGCAGTTCCTCCTGCCGGCGCTGCAGAAACGCATGGAGGAGTGGTGAGGACCCTCTTCTTCTCCTCCTATTTATTTTTCTTCTCCTCCTCCTCACCTCCTCACCTCCTCACCTCCTCACCTCCTCTCTCCTGTGTGTCTGCAGGGAATCGAACCCTCGTATCGGGGACATCCTTCAGAAGCTGGCTCCCTTTCTGAAGATGTACGGAGAGTACGTGAAGAACTTTGACCGAGCCATGGAGCTGGTGAACATCTGGATGGAGAGATCAGCGCAGTTCAAGGCCATCGTGCAGGAGATCCAGGTGAGTGTGTGTGTGTGTGTAGGTGTGTGTGTGTGTGGGATGTGTGTGTTAACCTGTGTGTGTGTTAAGTTAATAACTGGGCTGAAATGTGGATATGTTACATTTGCTCCACTTGGAAGACACATACGTATACTTATTTAAAAATATGGGCATTATACTACAATATAAAGCAATGGATGTAAATAATAATTTCATTTACATTTGTATCGGGCAACATTTTTATGAAATAACAATATTAGTTGATCATTAAAGTTTAATAACAACTATATGCTGATAAAATACTGAACGGATCCAGTGAGTAAGACACGGCTATGGGGATTTAACGAGGTGTGTGTGTGTGTGTGTGTGTGTGTGTGTGTGTTAATGTTCAAGGTTAGTTTATTTGTATAGCACATTTTAAGATACAGAGGCAATTAGAAATGCTTCACATAGACATGTAACACATAATAATTCAAAACAAAACAAACACACACAAAAAAAAGAAGATAAGGCACGGTTAAAGGATCGCAGGATAGACTGCATTAAAAATAAAGGTTTTAAATGTGTGTGTTAACATGTGTGTGTGGGCTGTGTGTGTGTGTGTGTGTGTGTGTGTTGATGTGTGTGTGGGCTGTGTGTGTTAACCTATGTGTGGGTTGATGTGTGGGCTGTGTGTGTGTGGAATGTGTGTGTTAACCTGTGTGTGTGTGTGTGTGTGCAGAGGGAGGAGCGCTGTGGGAACCTGACTCTGCAGCATCACATGTTGGAGCCGGTCCAGAGGATCCCTCGCTACGAGCTGCTGCTCAAAGACTATATGCACCGCCTGCCGGAGGACGCCCCGGACCACCGGGACGCCCAGAGTACGTACAACACACACACACACACACACACACACACACACACACACACACACACACACACACACACACACACACACACACACACACACACACACACACACTACCATGTATACATCACTTCAGCGGACATTACATTGACTTACATGCATTTCCTGGAGACTTATCCTAACCTTAACCAACACATGCCTAACACTAATCCTAACCCTAACCAAGTCTTCACCCTAAAATCAATCATTCCCCTCATAGGGACCTCCATTTTGTCCCCATAAGGGAGGCGAGGCCACACGTGACTGTAAACAGATGTAGGTCCCCACAAGTATAGTAATGCTAGGCCACACACACACACACACACACACACACACACACACACACACACACACACACACCACACACACACACACACACACACACCACACACACACACACACACACACACACACACACACACACACTTCACCTCCATGCCAGATTTCAGCATCCTGGGGGTGAAAACTGTGACCGCCAAAGGGAGGGGACATTCTTGTGGACCGCCTGACAGAGCGAGCTAAAACATTTAAACATATCCGAGAGCTGCACAGCTTCGTCCAGGAATGTGTAAAGTGAACAGAATAAAGTATAAAGTGTGTGTGTTTCTGTCACTAATGTGAACTTTCTTTTCTCAGAGTCTCTGGAGCTGATCGCCACCGCAGCAGAACACTCCAACGCCGCCATCAGGAAGATGGTGAGACACACACACACACACACACACACACACACACACACACACACACACACACACACACACACACACACACACACACACACACACACACACACACACACACACACACACACACAGTTTGTCATTATCTCGACCTCATCTGTAATTAAACTCTGATTACACTCCTTAACTGTTAACTCACAGCTGCTGCTCCTTCATGTGGGTTTCACTCCGTCACATTTCTCATCACCAACTTCTCCTCTGGATCAGAGCTGAAGGGAGAGTGTTTTGAGGTGGGGTTCTACGGGGTTCTTCTCCAACTCAGCGCAATACTACCTGCAGTAGATGCAGCTTGGAGCAAAGCACAGGAGTACCAGCAGGAAGCTTTATACAATGTTTTGCTAACGGGATCTACGCAGCTATACAGTCATTTGACCGCACAGAACATTGGAGTTACTCGCCTGCTTTGATCCATTAGTCAGTTATTTTGTGACTTTTAAAAGGTTAGTTAACGTCAACAACAAGGCAGCACGAAACTCCAGTCAGATAAAACTGGTTTTTTTCAATGGAGTTTAGTGGTTTTGAAAAGAGCGTAGATAACGTCTGACAGCACAGTAAAGTGGTGGAAAAATGATGTACATTTCAAATAAATATATTGATGTGTTGGTTATATTTCCACAGCAGTACACCGCTTAGTTTGCTCCTGTGCACACTGACTGTGGCAGCTTTGGCTCAACAATGGGTTAAAACATGGAAAACTCAACCATCCATTTTCCTCCATATTCTTTTTCTTTCTTTCTTCTTTGCTGCAAATTATCATACAAACAACTCGGATTGCTAGCTATCGTCGATTATCATCGATTGTTACAAGAAAAAAACTCCTGTGTCCCTGTGCTGTCCCTCATTTTATTTTATCTTTTTATTTCCGCTTCACTTTAATATGGACAAGCTGAAAATAGTCGCCCTCACATATCAGCTCATACCTGGTTCTGTTTCTGCCTCAGGAGCGGATGAGGAAGCTGCTGAAGGTGTACGAGCTGCTGGGAGGAGAAGAAGACATCGTTAACCCGACTAACGAGCTCATCAAAGAAGGACACATCCTCAAACTGTCCAACAAGAACGGCACCACGCAGGACCGATACCTCATCCTGGTACTTCCTATTTTACTCCTACCTTTTTTACTAAAGGCATCTTCCTTTTATTGCTATTCGACCAGACACTCATAGATATCAGTATTTTTCTGTCATATTATGTTAACACTTTTCTTGTTAGGTTAGAAAAGTGTCAAAAGAACTATAACGTCACGGGAAGACTAAGAGGAATGTGAGAATCTGGTTGGGGGTATTATCAAATATCTGGAGCAAACTCCCAGAAACCTGCCGGTCCGCTGGAACTCTGACTACTTTGAAATCCAGGCTGAAGACTTTCTTTTTGCCGCTGCTTTTAATTGAACTATTCACATCTTAAACTGCACTGTAACTTTTTATTCATGTACCTGTGTAATGTTTCTAATGTGTTTTATGCTCTTAATGTCTTTCGTTTTTGTAAAGCACTTTGAATTGCCTTGTGTTCGAAAGTGCTGTATGCCTTGTTTTCTCTGGCACAAGAATTTCCTTTGTGATTTATTAAGTTGTATTTTATCTTATTATAATATGATCTAACTGAGTGACACCTGTCTTGTCTCTGTGCAGTTTAACGACAGGTTGCTGTACTGCGTCCCGAAGCTGCGTCTGATTGGTCAGAAGTACGGCGTCCGTGCTCGCATCGATGTGGACGGGATGGAGGTGAGACACATCTTTAAGTTCATCGAACTCAGTGGAGCTCTGAATATAAACCTGGAGCTGATTTAACCGGTCTGTCCCTCTCTCTCTCTCTCTCCTCTCTCTCTCTCTCTCTCTCTCTCTCTCTCTCTCTCTCTCTCTCTCTCTCTCTCTCTCTCTCTCTCTGTCTCTCTCTGTCCCTCTCTGTCTCTCTGTCTGTCTGTCTCTGTCTCTCTCTGTCTCTCTCACTCTGTCTCTCTCTGTCTCTCTCTGTCTCTCTCACTCTGTCTCTCTCTGTCTCTCTCACTCTGTCTCTCTCTCTCTCTCTCTCTCTCTCTGTCTCTCTCTGTCCCTCTCTCTGTCTGTCTCTCTCTGTCTCTCTCTGTATGTCTCTCTCTGTCCCTCTCTGTCTCTCTGTCTGTCTCTCTCTCTCTCTCTCTCTCTCTCTCTCTCTCTCTCTCTCTCTCTCTCTCTCTCTCTCTCTCTCTGTCTCTCTCACTCTGTCTCTCTCTGTCTCTCTCTCTGTCTCTCTCTCTGTCTGTCTCTCTCTGTCTCTCTCTGTCTCTCTTGTCTCTCTCTGTCTCTCTCTGTCTGTCCCCTCTGTCTCTCTCTGTCTCTCTCTGTCCCTCTCTGTCTGTCTCTCTCTGTCTCTCTGTCCCTCTCTGTCCGTCTCTCTCTGTCTCTCTCTGTCTCTCTCTGTCTGTCTCTCTCTCTATCTCTATCTCTCTCTATCTCTCTCTCTATCTCTCTATCTCTCTCTCTCTCTCTCTCTCTCTCTCTCTCTCTCTGTCCAGCTGAAGGAGACCAGCAGCGCTGCAGTACCTCGGACGTTCCTGGTTTCTGGAAAACAAAGATCTCTGGAGCTGCAGGCCAGGTACACACACACACACACCACACACACACACACACACACACACACACACACACACACACACACACACACACACACACACACACACACACACACACACACACACACACACACACACACACACACACACATCTTTTAATTACCTCACCTTGTTGGTCCCTCTTCTTCTACTGATGGAAACAAGCCAATTATGCCAATCATTTTCCAAACTGCTTTTAGAGTTTGCAATATTCTGACAGCTTCTCTGTGTGTGTGTCTGCAGGACGGAGGAGGAGAAGAAAGACTGGATTCAGGTAGACACTCTAACTTCCTGTCGGCCTGTTGTCTGTGAAATATTGCCTGATCAAATGTTTCAAATTAAAAGCATCACAGAGACTTTTATTGTGAAACTCCTCCTCTGTGTTCAGGCCATCCAGGCGACCATCCAGAGACACGAGCAGACGATGGAGAGCTTCAGACATCTCAACTGTTCTCTACGAGACGACGAGTCCACGCCGCCTCACTCCCCGGTAACACGCTCACTGACAAAACTACTGAAGACTCAAATTAATAAAACACAAAACTTCTTAAAGCTTAACCCTTGTGCTTCACTAGGGACCTTTTAATTATTCTTTAATACTTTGGTTGTGTTAATGCGGCGCAGGGGGTAAGATGCCATTTTATTTTAGAAGACACTCACTTAAAGGTGGGGTAGGTCATTTTGGAGAAACCAGCTCGAGTGCGCTAGAATTTGAAAATACACAACCGGAAGAAATCTGCCACTTCCTTACAGAGCCCCTCCTCCAACACACAGGAACGCGCACATGACCAATGAGGGCACGAGGTAAGTTTGTGCACAGATGGAAGGCTGACAGGCAGGTAGGCCATCCAGTTACTTTAGCCGGCCCGGCTCAGATGATTGGTCGTGCTTTTTACAGCGCCATGGCTTCCACAGATGAAATTTATTATGGATTTGTTGTCAAAGCACTTAAGATATTCATTGCTATCTGGATGTTAAGAGCATTCCATGGAATATAACAAAAAGTGCCGGTTTCTTAAACTTACCTACCCCACCTTTAAGCCCCTGTCACACTGTCCCGAAATTGACACCCGATGGACACACGATAAAGGAAATGTTCAAATTCGGCTGTGATCGTAGCAACATCGGGCCATTCGTGAGGGCATCTAAGCCATCGTATGACCGCCGGTGGAGTTTCTCAGGCTCCGGCAGCAACTTCGTGAGCGGCAACTTCGTAAGGCACTCGTGAGGGCATCTTGTCAAGTCGTGTCATTTTCGTGTTATCATCGGTGCATTCGCCCTCACTCTGATCGGGGCGAATGCCCGATGGCACTGATGATAACAAGATGCCCTCACGATGACCTTACGAAGGGCAAAATTGACACACGAATTCAACACGAAAATGAACCTTCTCAAGGTCCTTGGGCAATTTTTTGGCATGCCAAAGATTTTGCCACCGCTCACGAAGTTGCTGCCGGAGCCTGAGAAACTCCACCAGCGGTCATACGATGGCTTAAGATGCCCTCACGAATGGCCAGACGTTGCTACGATCACAGCCGAATTTGAACATTTCCTTTATCGTGTGTCCATCGGGTTGTTTTATTGCACAACAAAATCATGTAAACATATTATGTAAATAACCCAATTTGTGTTCTGTGAAACTGAAAAGGATATAATATATTATTTTGAAGGCGAGTTGACAGGAAGTTGTTGTTGCTATGGAAACAACAACATGACGGAGAAAACGTAATATCTTCTACATATAAAGACGGAGAAAGTAAACAAAGTCTGAAGATATCAGTACAGTATCATAGTACTGTAACATAATTGTTTTTGGTACTTTCGTTGCAGTTGTATGTCTTAAATGTAATGTAAATGTTGCCTTCGTGTGTGGTTCGGGGCCATCTTCGTGCGGAATTCACAATTCCATATTCGTGTGTCCATCGGGTGTCAATTTCGGGACAGTGTGACAGGGGCTTTAAGGAGAACAATTAACCCGTTTACACAAATGTTGATCGCCTGGCCATTTCAACATAAAATCATGATTTATTTATTCTTTTCCGATTGATTCATTTTATTATGTTCTCCCTATTGGAAAAATACATGACAATATATATCATGCATAATCCTGGTCTGATGCACAAAGTAATTAAAATGCATCATAATCATTAATGTATCCCACACTGTGAAAAAATAAATCAATCATCCAATATTTAAAAATAAATTGGGGGAGGGGGGTTGAAGGGTTTGAATTCTTGAATGAATATTTGGTAGATATGATCAGGACTGAAGATTTATTTAAAGTGTAACATTTTATAATTCTATGGCATTTTTCTTCAAATGCACATTTTTCTTCTCACAAGACATTAGAGCAACTTTTAAAATTGAAGCACAAGGGTTAAGATAAGAGGATTACAGATCTGCAGGACGAAACAAAAACAACAAGTTATTATATTATTATTTTACTTTGAATGTTATTTTTTGTTAATGGTTGTTTGATGCAAAGCAAGAGTTGAGTTTCATCAAAATCTTAAAAATGTAACTCCGCTAAGTTACACAGTATGTTCACTTGCAGCAGGTAAATCAGTCAGGGTTGTATTAAACTGACCTGAGATCTGTCCTCCTCAGAGCTGTGTGGAGCTGGGGAAGCGGGCTCCGACCCCCATCAGAGAGAAGGAGGTGACTCTGTGTATGAAATGTCAGGAGCCGTTCAACTCCATCACCAAGAGACGGCACCACTGCAAGGCCTGCGGACACGTGAGTCTGTTCAAATCTGTAATCTTTCACAAATATTTACATTTTTAATAATTAATGACTGCACTGCAGAGCCTGCGGACACTTACATTATTCAATATTTACACATGTGTTAAGAGAACTGATAATTCATGAATATTTACATTTGTGTTAATTAACAACAACACTTTGAAGCCTGCGGACACGAAGGCTATTCAATATTTACATTTGTAATATAATCTTTAATAATTTGCGTGTATTTACATCTGTTTTTATTAATAACGGCACTGCAGAGCCGAATACATTTGTGTTATCATCACTAATAATTCATTAATATTTACATCTGTAATAATGATAAACAATACTGACCTTTGGCTTTTAACTTGATTATTTATTTATTATTGTGATGCTTTGAACTATTTATAGTGTAAATTGGAATTATCCACATCTGTGCTCCCGGGTGTATCTGTGTGTTTTCTTCCTGTATGTTCCTGCCTGTGTACATGACATAAGCTGCTGCTCATAACCAATTGCCCCTTGCGGGATTAATAAAGTTGTTGATTGATTTATTGATTGACCGCGGACATGTATGTTATCCAATATTTATAATTATAGGTCTATAATCACAAATCAATTTTAAAGGGGCCCTGTTATGCTTTTGGGGTTTTCCCTTACATCTAGTGTGTTGTATGGGTTTATGTGCATGTAAATGGTCTGCAAAGGCTCAAATGACCAAATTCAGATTTCTATCCCCCCCACACCCTGCCTGAAAAGCCTCCATCGGACTCCTTTCTTTATTTCCAAGACACACTATGCGCTCGCAATTATATTGGCTAGCGCTCCAACACATTGTACGTGATAGGCTAAGTAGAGACACTACATACTGATATACACCTGAACATCAGCAGGAGAGGACTCTTTAAAGTAGAGACACTAAATACTGATATACACCTGAACATCAGCAGGAGAGGACTCTTTAAAGTAGAGACACTACATACTGATATACACCTGAACATCAGCAGGAGAGGACTCTTTAAAGTAGAGACACTACATACTGATATACACCTGAACATCAGCAGGAGAGGACTCTTTAAAGTAGAGACACTACATACTGATATACACCTGAACATCAGCAGGAGAGGACTCTTTAAAGTAGAGACACTACATACTGATATACACCTGAACATCAGCAGGAGAGGACTCTTTAAAGTAGAGACACTACATACTGATATACACCTGAACATCAGCAGGAGAGGACTCTTTAAAGTAGAGACACTACATACTGATATACACCTGAACATCAGCAGGAGAGGACTCTTTAAAGTAGAGACACTACATACTGATATACACCTGAACATCAGCAGGAGAGGACTCTTTAAAGTAGAGACACTACATACTGATATACACCTGAACATCAGCAGGAGAGGACTCTTTAAAGTAGAGACACTACATACTGATATACACCTGAACATCAGCAGGAGAGGACTCTTTAAAGTAGAGACACTATATACTGATATACACCTGAACATCAGCAGGAGAGGACTCTTTAAAGTAGAGACACTACATACTGATATACACCTGAACATCAGCAGGAGAGGACTCTTTAAAGTAGAGACACTACATACTGATATACACCTGACCATCAGCAGGAGAGGACTCTTTAAAGTAGAGACACTAAATACTGATATACACCTGAACATCAGCAGGAGAGGACTCTTTAAAGTAGAGACACTCCATACTGATATACACCTGAACATCAGCAGGAGAGGACTCTTTAAAGTAGAGACACTAAATACTGATATACACCTGAACATCAGCAGGAGAGGACTCTTTAAAGTAGAGACACTACGTACTGATATACACCTGAACATCAGCAGGAGAGGACTTTTTAAAGTACAGACACTACATACTGATATACACCTGAACATCAGCAGGAGAGGACTTTTTAAAGTACAGACACTACATACTGATATACACCTGAACATCAGCAGGAGAGGACTCTTTAAAGTAGAGACACTAAATACTGATATACACCTGAACATCAGCAGGAGAGGACTCTTTAAAGTAGAGACACTACATACTGATATACACCTGAACATCAGCAGGAGAGGACTCTTTAAAGTAGAGACACTACATACTGATATACACCTGAACATCAGCAGGAGAGGACTCTTTAAAGTAGAGACACTACATACTGATATACACCTGAACATCAGCAGGAGAGGACTTTTTAAAGTACAGACACTACATACTGATATACACCTGAACATCAGCAGGAGAGGACTCTTTAAAGTAGAGACACTAAATACTGATATACACCTGAACATCAGCAGGAGAGGACTCTTTAAAGTAGAGACACTACGTACTGATATACACCTGAACATCAGCAGGAGAGGACTCTTTAAAGTAGAGACACTACGTACTGATATACACCTGAACATCAGCAGGAGAGGACTCTTTAAAGTAGAGACACTACGTACTGATATACACCTGACCATCAGCAGGAGAGGACTCTTTAAAGTAGAGACACTAAATACTGATATACACCTGAACATCAGCAGGAGAGGACTCTTTAAAGTAGAGACACTACGTACTGATATACACCTGAACATCAGCATGAGAGGACTCTTTAAAGTACAGACACTACATACTGATATACACCTGAACATCAGCAGGAGAGGACTCTTTAAAGTAGAGACACTACATACTGATATACACCTGAACATCAGCAGGAGAGGACTCTTTAAAGTAGAGACACTACATACTGATATACACCTGATCATCAGCAGGAGAGGACTCTTTAAGTAGAGACACTACGTACTGATATACACCTGAACATCAGCATGAGAGGACTCTTTAAAGTACAGACACTACATACTGATATACACCTGAACATCAGCAGGAGAGGACTCTTTAAAGTACAGACACTACATACTGATATACACCTGAACATCAGCAGGAGAGTACTCTCTAAAGTAGAGACACTACATACTGATATACACCTGATCATCAGCAGAAGAGGACTCTTTAAAGTAGAGACACTACATACTGATATACACCTGAACATCAGCAGAGTATGTCCTCTTTAAGACTACAAACATCTGACTGACTGTTTTTTTGCCTCCAGGTGGTTTGTGGGAAATGTTCAGAGTTTCGTGCTCGCCTTTCGTACGACAACAACCGCACCAACCGTGTTTGCATCGACTGCCACGCCATGCTGGTGGGGGCGTCGCCGTCGCCCGCCCTGCTGAGCAGCAGCAGCAGCCAGAGGAGGCGCTCCATCCTGGAGGTCAGTGCAGAAAACTACTCTGAAAATAAGATAAGACAAGATGAGAAGTACTTTATTGATCCCAATTTGGGAAATGTTTGTGTTGCAGCAGCAGAAAAAGACATGGCATTGTACAATAACAATTTAAAGAAATAAACAAGAAAGTAGAAAATATACATGTTGAATTACAAATTTACAGTAACAAAATATACAGCAAGTTATTACATATATATATAAATTATCTGTTTGTTGAACATTTTCTCTCCTCCCTGCAGAAACACTGACCCTCTTTATATCTCTGTCCCTTGTTGCTATAGAAACAGGCCTCTCTGGCAGCGGAGCACAGTGTGATTTGTAGTTTTTTGCACCACATGGAGAAAGGGAGTGGGCGCGGATGGCAGAAAGCCTGGTTCGTCGTCCCGGAGAACGAGCCACTGGTGCTCTACATCTACGGAGCTCCACAGGTACCTTTAGTATATATATATATATAAAATATGTAATACACCTTTATATTATTTACAAAGATCTCCTGGTAAGCCGACGGTGCATTCAGGTGCTTCTTGGATGGTCCTATTTCCCAAATTGGGAAGTCTTTCTTCCAACTTTGGTTTCAGTTGTATAGGTCATGTGTATGTTCACACAGGGTCAATGTTACGATAACAACATGTTTGATAGGGAAAGGACTTGCTCCGCAGCAAAGTCACAACTTTCTTTTACTAGATCACTAGAAGAATGAAAAAATGACAATAATAAGGAAAGACAGTAAAACATTAAAGGTGGGGTAGGTAATTCACTTCACTTTGTTATATTCCATGGAATGCTCTTAACATCCCGATAGCAATGAATATATTAAATGCGATGACATTAAATATATACAAACATTTCATCTGTGGAAACCGTGGCGCTGTAAAAAGCACGACCAATCATCTGAGCCGGCTAAAGTAACTGGATGGCCTACCTGCCTGTCAGCCTTCCATCTGTGCACAAACTTATCTCGTGCCCTCATTGGTCATGTGCGCGTTCGTGTGTGTTGGAGGAGGGGCTCTGTGAGGAAGTCTGAAGGAAGGGGAAGATTTTTTTCGACTGGGTACTTTCAAATACTAGCGCACTCGAGCTGGTTTCTCCATTCTTACCTACCCCACCTTTAAGGTACCGGAGTCGTTTGATAAAATAAGTAGAGACATAAGTATACTGTATACCAATATAAAATAATGTGCATTGTGTGGAAAAGTAAGTGACAGTATTGCAGAAATGTAATGAAGAAAGGTAAATAAATAAAGTTCAGCTAAAAAAATGTAATTTAGGTTTTTTTACCCGAGGGGGGGTTCATGTGAAAACGTATTCCGATATCACATGAATGCAGCACAAATGCCCTTTCTAGAAATGTGACCAAAAGTGAATATTACACACCCATATAAATTCATGTCAGTGTTTCCCCTAGGATGGAGTCATAGCAGCGGTGCTAAGGCACGTGGGCCCAGCATAATGTGAGCGTGGAGCGCGTGGAATTTTTTAGTGCGTGCGAAGTGCGCTCCGCCAATTTGTTTCTATGAGTCTGCCAGTACAAGAAAGGCTCTTGAGGCCTAGTACCAGGGCCGGTTCTAGACAATTTGCTGCCCTAGGCGAGATTTTATATATAAAGATTAAATGAAAAATCTCTACAAAAGACAAATACACTACAAAAACAGAAACGTATTGAGGTAATAGACGTCAAAATGGCTTCAAATGTATTCAGTATTGTATGAACTTGTTTTTAATTGGGGGTGGACGTCACATCCTCTAGGGGGGTCCGGGGGTATGCCCCCCCGGGAAGATTTGTTTGAACATTTTAAAATAAAATGCTTCAATCTGGTGCACTTTGAGCACACAATTACTAGAGACCTAGTCTAGGGGGTATAACTCTAAACACCCATATGAAAAAGATCGGTTTACATTTTAATAATCAAATAAGTGTGTGAACATAACCAATAACCTACCATAGCCAATAACAAATAAATGTAACTTATTTTATTTTTGTTGTTCATTTATATCTTATTTTACCTTAACATTTATTTATTTATGCATATTTTTGTATCTCTCCAACTTTAAACGATATTTTTGGTTTACTGTCCTATAGTAGACATTGGAATGATTTCAAACCTGTTTTTATTCATCCTAATAATTATAAAGGAGTGCCTTGGAAATATGTGTTTACAAATTATGTAAACACATATTTGTTTGAGACCCACTGAGATAACTTAGATTCAGAGAGTACCTCCTGGTCCTCCCAATGGCCTGCCTGTTACATACAGTGGCAATGTCTCAAGATTTAGCAAAATACACCTTTTTGAACATACAGTAACACAAATACTACAAATCCACATAACAAACAATCACAAATCAAAAAGGGTCGGCACTTATTATTATTTATAAAAAAATGTTTCCCCTAGCAGCGGCGCGCATATTTCAGCAGCGGCCATACCCATGATGCAATATGAACAGATAACTGACAGTATTGATCATATCTCCCCTCCAGGATGTGAAGGCGCAACGCAGCGTTCCTCTGATTGGCTTTGAGGTCTCCCTCCCCGAGTCATGTGACCGCCTCGAGCGCCGCCACGCCTTCAAGATCTCCCAGAGTCACCTGACGCTGTTCTTCAGCGCCGACTGTGAGGAGCTGCAGCGACGGTGGATCGACGTCCTGCTGCGCGCCGGGAGGGGGGGAGGAGCCTCAGGTGCATCGGCCAATCGTGGAGAGCGTGGAGGAGGAGGGGGAGGAGCTTGCGACCGTAGCAGAGGACGAGAACACGTGATTCTATTGGAGAGAAACAAATGGCAGCGATGATTAATATTGGTCCCTGTTGGAAACCATTACAAAACCAGTAGCTGATATTTACACGCACACACACACACACACTGCATGATGGCGTCTCTTCTTCTTCAACTTTTTTCGTGAGGCAGTGATGTGGGCGGAGCCTCTTCTCCCGCAGGAATCATGGGAACCACTGTGTTTTTCATCCCCTCAGTTTGGTCTCAAACACTACAGTACCCATAAACCTCAGCTGTTTTCAGGTTTAAAAAAAAAAAGAGTAAAGAGCTCTCTGATTGGACGGATTTCCTGGAACATGAAGCACATTCATCAGCTGCTGTTATAAACATTTTACCTTATGGTTTCCACTGATCCAGTGTTCAGAAGATCAACTGGTGTTAACTTAGTGGTTAAATCACGTTGTTTTTTCCACTTTAATACAGCAGCAGCAACCATCAAGGAGTCACACAACACGTAGAGGGTTTTAATAACAAAACCGGCAGATCTAAAACTCCAGTTATTATTACTGATACGTTCTCTGTCAGTGCAAGAAGATTAAATTATTTCAACAATTTTCAGTTTTCTGCACAGACCAGTAAAAAGTGATCTTGTATGAAGACACTAGACTTACAGAAGCTCGGAAACACAAAGCAGATCTGCAACATTAAGGGATTCAGATTGGACAAACTCGGGTGAATTCACAAAAACTGGATCGATTTAGTTTCATGAATTGTGCAGCGTTAGCAACCTGTATTTGCGCCGTCCCAAGATCCGGTTCACAACAGATAATGCCCTGATTATGTTAAAATGCAAACACCCATTGAGATTTGCAGCTAAGGACAATTCTTTGGCATCTTACTGCGATCACATATGTTGCAAAATATGAATGTCTTTGCACCAATCACATATTACATGAAGAGAGGAAACAGAGGTGCAAAGGCATTACTTAAACTACCAAAAGCTAGGTAATTAAACGAGACAGAGAAACCTTATTTGATTTTTAAACTACTATCCTTGTCTGTGAGTATAAATGTGCTTCAACACAAACTCTCTGAAGACACTAATAATTTCACTGTAAACCGCTAAACATTGTGATTTGGACTGCTTTTGCACGATGCTCAATTTAATGCCAAATCTCAGCAAATTCCCTGATTTAAAAACGTGCGAATACCACAGGAGAACGGAGAAGCAATCGTCTTGGAAGTGCAATTAGGAATGCATTTAACCTTTTGTTGGCGCTTTGAGAAATAAACAGTATTGTTATATTCAGGCAGGTTTAGGGATTTGGCTGCAGAAGCTTTGCAATCCTTTTGTGAATTGCCCCCTGAGTGCAGTCCAGCTCAGTGTCCCTATGATTCACACTCATTTTGGACAATGCTGCACCTCCAGTTTTACATCCAACGCCAACGATTGTAACTACAACCACCGTCTGGTGCTTGTTGGCTCGCAGATTTAGTAAAAAATGAGAAGTGTTAAAACATTATTGTTGGAAGTGAATCTGGTGTTTTCTTCCAATATCAGTGTTCAGATTGTTTCTGATATCAACAAGCAAACAGGTGTGTTACGACAAAAACAGCAACCTTCATTAATCTGACCCGAGTGGAATGGATTAAACAAGGACATACAAAAGCATTTCAGAGTCAAAATGGACAACAGATTTAAAATCCCAGCTGAGGGTTTAGGAGTGGATCTTCTACCGGACATGATGCAGCCACGAAGAAGAGATTAAAGAAGAGATTTTTCCCTGTTTTTTAAAAGATACGTGTCAGCAGGAAGTTGATATAGACTGTCAAAAGGAGGAAACGCTGTGAGATTTTTAAAAAACAAAAGAAGAAAAAGACTGATGTGTCCTCTTTAAATGCACTTAAAAGACTTTTGATTTTTTTAACCCAAAATTTGCCCCTGAAGATCAACTCCTGTATTTTGACTTCTAAACTTCACTGCTGCTGTCTGACAAATCCAAACCTGCCTATCGAATCACCTGTCCGGAGGTAAACTACATTTCCCAGCAGCCTCGGCTCCAAGTGGTGGACTCATTTGACCTGAAGCCTCTCTGCCTTCTGCTGGTGAAGTTCGGTACTGCAGATTTTTATAAAAATCACTGAGGTGGTTCATCGGGGTCCTCAAGAAATCGCCATGTTTTCAGATCACAAAGAAAATCATGAAGCAGAGAAACAAGAATTTAAAGAGTCCAAAAACGTAAATATTTTGGCTTCATTTATTCAGTTTTTCATTATTTTGTGCAAACCTTCGGAGACTGTGAACCACTATTTTCATTGTTAATAATTATGCCGATTATTTTCTCAATTAATATGGATTGATTGGTCTATAATATGTCAGAAAATCCAAAATGATGTATTTTATATGTTTTATTTTTCCTCAGTCCAAAGATATTCACCATTATATTAAATAAAATATAAAATATATAAGCTGATAACCACCATATTAAGAGAATCTGAAAACATTGGAAGACGTCACTTTGGAGACATATTCTATACCAGACAACCTATTGATTAATTGAGAAGATAATTAAATAGCTGAACATGAACATGATTGTTAGATACAAGGCCTCTAAAGGACACTGATGATCTCAGCCCCAGATGATGATGATGATGATGATGATGGTGGTGAAGGTTTTTTTTTTTTTAAAAGATGGATGTATAAAGTTGGAAAAATAGTTTTTTTAAAGATGGATACATGAAGAGGAACCAGGAACCAGCTGGACTGTACACCTTCATGTTGTCAGATGGACTCGGTGGTGTCTGTTTCCTGGATGTTAGGAATTAATCCAGCTATTAGACGGAGCCGAACTGAATCTACAATAATAGACTTTAGTTGTTTTTATCATGTTCACTTCCAGTGGTCCAGTATTTCTCTCTCTCTGTCTCTATAAACACCTTTTGGACAAAGTGTTTTGATATTGAAAATATTATTAATATTATTATTGTTATTCTGATGCTATGATGAAGTGAACAGACTTCTTGTTGGATATTTCGGTGTTTATGAGTCTGGGTTGTGTTTGATGTTTGCTTGATGCAAGTTGATGCAAGAAGAAAACAAAGAGTAAAGATTTTGTAAATATAATTTATTCTCCTGTGACCTCCCCGGTCATGTGACTATGTAAAGGTTAAAGGTTAAAACTTGCCGTCCCTCAACACAGCCAGAGCCAATCAAACTGGCCGTTTCTCAATCGCGAGGATGCTGGCTTGGTAGTCGCGTACTTCCAAGTCACTTCCTTCAGAAACGAAGCAAGTATACTTCCAAGCCATGGCTACGGAAAACGAAGAAGAATGGAACAGGCTAACAAGTGTGCCACTCTCTCTAACGGTTTTCAACATCAACTGTACCAAAAATAAATACCTCACGATGTCTATCTAATTATGAACTTGCTTTACTTTCACGGAACACATTTTTCGTGATAACAAACAAATGTAACAAAGTAACATATTTACCAACACGTGTTCTACGCCACTACATACTTACATTTCAATGTGTGCTGCGTCGGTTCAGCCATTCTCCGCAAGGGTTTTTGAAATTGGTCCGTGCGCAAAGCATTGTGGAGATTTTAAGGATGCGAAGTCTACCCATGTGCAGCCTCGAAATTTCCCCCAAACCAAGGACGCGGCCTCGGTGGAATTCCAAGTATGCTGGAGATTGGAACAGTCCTTCGGTGGCACTCGATGGCGTAGCATCCTTGAAATATTGGCTTGGAAGCCAAAATCCTCGCGATTGAGAAACGGCCACTGTTTGGGTTTCAGCTGCGGCCATGTTGGCTCCATCATTTAGACTAACGGCTAACAGGGTGAAGCTTAGAGAAACAATCAACATTTTAGTAAATCCTCTCAATCTTTGTATTTCAAATGAATATCAGGTTCTCCCTGCTTCTAGTCTTGTTGCTAAACTATGCTAAAGGTTTTCTTCTGCTTCTGGTCTTCGTGCCTATCTAGGCTATCACTTTCCCCTGCTTATAGTCTTTATGCTAAGCTAGGGTAAGAGTTTTCTCCTGTTTCTGGTCTTCGTGCTAAGCTAGGCTAGCACTTTTCCCCTGCTTCTTCTAAGCCTGGCAATTGTTTTGCTGAGCGAGGCTAGCATTTCCCTTCCTCCAAGTCTAAGCTAGGCTATCTGTTTTCCCCTGCTTCAAGTTTTTGGTGCTAAGCTAGGCTAGCAGTTTGTCCAAGCCTGGCTAGCAGTTCCGCATTGCTGCTAGTTTTTATGCTAAACTAGACTATCCGTTTCCCCCTGCTCTTCTAGTATGTGTGCTAAGCTAGGCTAACCACATCCTGGACACGCAGAGATGAAACTGAAAATGTTTTAAAAACTGGATTTCTAAAACTGTTGAACTCTTTCTTTACCTTCACAGCTCTGTCTCTAACATGGTGCTCAGTGTGAACGTGGCTCTGGTTGTCGCAGTGTATTTTTAGCGTGTAAAGCAGACTAAAGCAGTGGTGTGTTCTCTCCTCGCTCACGGGGAATGGAAGGAATTGGCCAGTAACTCAGCCTTAGTTCCCATCATCACCAGTTGTCTTCTTGATGTGATGAAAAATGTTAAAAAAAATTCAATCTGAGTAATTTCCCTACATACAGTTGATTCTTTTTGTTTTATTTCCTTTGTGTTTTCAGATATTTTTGCAGACTGGTTCTGACCGGTTCTGACCAGTGTGTGTATGATACAATTGAACAGTGTGTTGTACCAGTCCAGTGTGCACTTTTCTCTTTATGTGCCAAAATTCAGAACCATACAGTATTCAGTGAAGTTGTTGGCTAATATATCAGATTATGTTTTTTCAGTATTTCTACTTATTGTTACTTTGGGCTGGATACCAGTTTATAGCCATTTGCAGTCTCATAAACCAGTTTGAGCCAGCTATAACTAGAGATGAACGTTATTAAATGACTACACAGATTTTTTTTAAGGTGTGAAATCAACAGACTCCACAATGTAATTCCCGGCCAATTGACTTGCAGTGGGTTTCCAAATTCGGGATAACAGGCAGGGTTTTATAAGGAAATGCTTTCAGACCAACGGCCTTGTGAGAGATTGGCATGACTTTACTTGTACTTGTACTACTCAAATGCTAAACTAATTTATGTGAGGTGTATAATTTCCCTACATTATATTGTTTACTTAGCTAACTTCTTAGACGTATTATCCGACCATATATATTGAACTTAAAAAAACATGACCTCCAAATCTCTAGTTAAGACTAAACTGAGCCGGATAACGCCTGTTTTATTTACTCGTTGGAGCCGGTAACGTTACCAAGTGCAGTAACTTGTAGTTTCGATAGCTGGTTTAAAACCGGTTCTAGCTGGTTCTATCCCATCAGAGCCGGTTCGGTCACACTGGACTGTCATCAGTATTTTGCCTTACAGTTTCTGAATTTTATTGAACTTTTTCTTGTGCCAAATCAGACGACTTGATCTGTTCAACAGTTACAGTCTGTGGTTTTGTATTTATTTGTCATTTTTAATCCAAACTGTTATACTTTGTTATTTTGTCCTAATCCTGATATCCTCAGTGGTTTTTAGGATGACCTTTTTTAACTGTCTCCGATTCCCCTCATCAGACGGTCACACAGTGTTATTATGGGCTGCTGTTACCATGGACTGCATCCATGCTTTGACTTGCCGAGATTGAAGCTGAAAAATACATAACAAACCAAATAATGTTGATAAATGTAAACAGATTTATATAATACAGAGCTCTAACAGCCAATCAGAAAAGGACTGGGCAGTGATGTCATTTAGTTGAACTAAACCATGTTTTATCTCCTAACGCGTTACTATAGAGTGGTGCCGTGATGACGTATTTTTGTAGGCCAGACATAGAAGTTAGCATTGCATGGGTCGCTAGAAAAAAAGTAATGGAATTTTTCCCATTGGATTTCTGTATATCGCAGAAAAATAAGCCTTGTGGCCAACACACGTTTATGATACTTAACGCGTTTTGTTCAGGGGGATAGTCTCCACATATTAACACAATTTTTTTAAACATAAATGTAATTGGCAGAAATATATAGCTAATATAATGCTATAAACAAACTACATCGCGGTCGCATGGCTGCAAATCAAAAGCGCGTCGGCATGATGTCGTTTAGTAGTCACTTGTTAGCAACCCCTGTTTTTATGACACATCGAAGCTTCAGACATTCATGATTGGAATATATGCTGGTGTATTTTATGTTGTAGAACGAAACGTGAAAATCTCTTCAGCTTGTGTTAACCATAGATCTTATTTCAGGCTTCTAACAACAAACACGTTAAAAAAACGTTTACTTCGAGACGAGGGAACAGGAAGTGATGAAATGTCCTTTTGCAGGTTTTAGGACTCATTACGGCACCACTCTTTATAAATGTGGAGTTCAACATTAAATCTCTCTCTCTCCGGGTGTAACAGCAGCATGGTGGTGTATTCTTCTTCTTCTTCTTCCTGTTGTACTTCTGGTATCTTATTGTTATTATTGAGTATTGATTGATTGATTGATCGCAGGTTATTGGTTAGTGGCCGGCCACTGCCTTCCATCCTGTCTGTTTCCCCATCATGCCCTTATGTATGAGAAAATACAATGAGAAATGTTTATTATGAGGTTATAAATGAAATAAAAATATGAAAACTGACTACATGTCTGAAAGTTAATCTTATCATACAACCAATACTAGTACACATATTTTTACTACTGCCTTTACTTCTCCTGCAACTATACTATTACTATTTCATTTTAAATACTTGATGCATCTATAAGCAACAGCACCATCCAAGACAATAATAAAAGAGCAATAGGCTAAATTAAAATAATATTTAAAGCAGGAGATATACATCCAGAACTGGAATAAATAAACTGTGAAAATGTAACATAAGGCAAAGGTTAAATATGCTTCGGCCATCCTAAACTCCGAAAAAACTATTTGTTTCTCCGAATCGAAGGGGAAAAACACAAAAGCATTGTACACAATTTAAACCAATCAATGTTTAAGGATTAACTTAAACATCATTTGACAGTGAGGGGAATACTTCTGGTTAAAACTTCGAGACTGGAAATACTGTTTTCACCCCAAGCTGTTGCCTGGCAACGCAATTCTGTTGATAGTTATGGCTGATAAGGCTTATTACTTATTACTGTTTTGATATTTGAAACTCCAAACCGATGGAAAACCCCCACAGCAACATAGAAAAGACGGTCATAATAACATGACCCGACGCCCTAGTTAATAGACAAGATAATTTCAAACATATTATTAATTATGGATCAGAGGGAGCCAAACAAGTCAATTGTCAGTGACTGTCATCCCCTACCACACATGGATGAACTGTTCACTAACCTGCGAGGGGCTACAGTTGTTCTACTATTGTCCTCGCCTCTGCCTATCACCAGATGCTGCTTCATCCAGATTGTCGTGATTTGACTGCATTTATCACACATGATGGACTTATTAGTTTCTGCAGAGTTCCAATTGGCCTAGCTTCAGCTCCGTCAGCCTTTCAAAAGATGATGTCAATCATACTTACAGGCATACCAGGAGTACAGGCTTACCTTGATGATGCTATGGTGTCACCCAGCAGGATCATGATGCTAACCAGAGGGTGATGCATGCCCTTAATGAAGCAGGACTAAAACTGAACATGCAAAAGTGTATGTTCAATCAGACTATTCTGCGTTTTCTGACCCACACCCATTTCAAAGGATGGACTTCACCCTGACAAAGACACAGTCAGCGCTGTAACTGATGCACCTGCCCCACACGACACATCCTCTCTACGTTCCTTCCTGGGCCTTGCATCATGGTACAGTAAGTTCATTCCAGATGTTGCTACTGTTGTTGAACCGCTACGTGCAGTACTCAGAGACTCTACTGACCTGAGGTTCCAGTGGACTACTGAGGCTGATTCCAGTTTTGCTGACATTAAGATACTGATAGCTGAGAGCCCTGCTCTTTCCTTGTATGACCCCTGTAGGAGCAAATACAGTGGTGGTGGCTTAAAGCCCACCTCCGCGCCCGTCCGTTAGATGAGCCTGGTCAGATTAATAAGAGAAGGAGTTGAAAACACCGGAATAAAAGTTTATAACAATAATCTGATTTTAATGGTAAAAAACACCAATACAAGTTACAGAGTACTCTGGACTCCCAGTTCTACTGCCGTGCGATACAGATATCGGGACCAGCCAGTCAGAAACAGGGGGCCTTTTGCATGAATCAACAACAATATATATGGACATATTTGGGGCGGAGTTGTGTCGGCTCTTCCGTCCCATTTTACTCCTAAGCGAATCAGAGAGTCCGTGGGGAGGAGTTGTGTCGGCTACTCACTCCCCTATGTGTTCTTACTGGTTGGATTCACTTCGGGTCGGGGCCCAATACAGCGAATCAGAGTTCTGGGAAAAAGT